CTCGTCTGTTTGAATTTTATGCGGTATTCTACCTTCAGCTAAGATATCTACCATTCGTCTGTATATGCACAATACACACATGTTTGTAAAGCTTTTTGCTGCAGTATATCGTATAAATAATAAGCTATGGTTACCTGTATAATACCGCTAGCAGTAGTGTTAGAAGATGTGTCCTTGTCGCAACAGTCCAGAGTGTCCAAACAGGTACCCTTAAACGGCTTGGCCCTGCTCTTGTCCTCTTCTGCTTTTTCTTCAGGAAATGTTAAATTTCTTTTCCCCAGTTCTTTGCCATAGTCATTATTATCCTGAGTAATGGAAAATATTTAGGGCTGCTCGATAGACCCTCACCCGCTGCACATGTCCTCGTACCTGCACACAACATTTTAATTTGAACAATGTCACCGTCAGCCCCGTCGTGGAGATCTTTGAGGTTGTTGTTTGTTGTTCATCTTGCTTGTCCTTAGGACCAAAAAATTTTCTTTTGATCCCTACATAGCTAACATAAGGTTTATACCATCTGAATAATTTATCAATGTGTGAGAAGATTTCAAGGGTTCTATCCCATTCTCCCCACTGGACCACAAAGCCGGTGCTGAACCACGTCTCCCACTCTTTAGACGTGATGGGGTAGCCTTTTTGTTGCTCTGGGGTTCCCATCCTTGCCTTTTGAATGATAGAATCATCCTTGCACAATCTAAAAAAGATGTAGGATTCTGGGTCGTAGACTTCAAGGTCTGTCTCTACACGATAGAGCTGTCCTGGCACAGACCCGCACCATTGTGTGGTATAGACTCCTTTTGAAGCACTCATATCTTTACAGACTTTGTTTCTGAAGTAATTCCAGTCTTTGGCTGAAAAACTAATGTGTGGTGTGCTTTCACAAAAAAAAATTTCATCAAGCTCTCTTGTATAAAGATGAACTGTTCCGTGCTCAAACAAGAATCCCGACATTCTAAAAGGCGCCCAAGCCTTTCGGTCCAGAAAATCAGCCAATGTTGTTGGGGGAGTCTTCTTTCTGGGAGCCATACTCATTACAACAGGATCTATAATGTCGTTTTGGAGTCATTGCTCCTAATTGATTACCTGCGACATCCATGATTGTGATTGCAAAGATGGCGCTGTTGTTCTGCACGGAAATAGCTCTTTCCGATATGGATTTACCCAAAAAATCGTTCAGGCACACAGTTCCACGCTCTCGGTCACATGTAAGTCAAAAAACTAGTAAAACTACTAATCTCCCTTTTCACACCCGTCTTCACCTTTTGGTGATCGACCCCCACTACCGCTAATAGAGGATGAGGCTGGACACGCCCTAATACACACACCCATTTTCACACCCCATGTCTTTGTTGTTCAACCTTGCTATGACCACAATCTTTAAAAAAAATAATAATAATTTTTTATTTATTAATTTTTTATTTATTAATTAATTATTTTTTTATTAATTATTTATATAATTTAAAATTATTTTTTATATAATTTAAAATTAATTTTTTGATTAATCAAAAATGTATTCACGTGCACGACTGTTATGCGCATCATGCACATGCACGTTCACATGCACGCGCTTTGCTGGCCTTTATTTACTACTCACAACATTCAGATTTTTCCATCTACTACTCAAAGTTTTAAACTGTGTATTGAAAAAGTGTGAATTCACCCTTTAACCATTGCTGATTACAATAAAAAATTTGCCATTTGTATAGCAATTTTAACAGTTACAAAGTGATTCAAAGACAGATAACAAGTGAGACTGATATTTAAAAAAATATCTGCTTATAAGACGTAATAAAAAGTGATTACGCTATCAGATGCATATAAGAACCATTACATCTTTCAGTAATTTTCTTATGTTGTGTAGCAAGGTTCATCTCATGCCCCCAGAAATCTGTCACCAGATGATGCAAGAATGAAGTGAGCAAAAGCAAGACAGACTCACTGTGGCCTCAAACCTTGTAATCATTCTACTTACCAGAAAAAAATTTGACGAGGGAAAAGGCAATTTTTCAAATTTGGCAGGTAAACAGGGCATTTGTAACATATACAAACAAATTTCTTGGCATGTGAAGTTCATAAAGAGAAGTGTGAAATCAGCGAAGTCGGTCTGTGAGTTTTTGTGTGTCTGTTTATTTGTTGCTGCTTGTATGTGCGTTTTTTTCAGCAGTGTCGGAAATTGTTTTTTCTCCCACACCAATAAAATTTGCCTGATGTCTTATGAGACCTGAGAGACGCACCGTGACTCACTAACACATGGTCTCTAAACCGAGACAGCTTAAACTGGTTTCATCTTCTCCGTCGTGTCTTTCTCTTCCTCCTCCCTGTATTCCTGTCTCGCTCTTACTTTTTAACTTTGTGATCTCTCCTCACCTGTCTGTCTTACTTTATATAACTCTGTACTCAACTCAGTGTACCTTCTGTAATGCCTGGTCTCTCCCAAGTGGTCTCCCAGAGCCAATTATTTTGTTATTAAAAAAAACAGATCCAATCAGCAGCTAATTAAAGAGATAATGGGAGAATAATGACCCGGGCTGGGAGGAGGAAGAGCTCAAGAATGTGTGGATGGAGAGACAGAGGGAGTGCTGAGCTGTGAGAGGAAAGTTGGGCTCGAATGGGAAAGTCAAACCAGAGATTAGCATGGGGAAAAACCTTGGACATATCGTAGTAAAGAATGAAGGGAGAACAGGCTGGCCTGTAGTGGAGCAGGTGTAGAGGAGGAGAAAGTGATTGGGGGTAGATGACAGACTGAGATGAAAGTAGAGATTGATGAAGTCACTGACAGATGTGACCGGCTGCTCATCCAGCTGTTGCCTGATCCAGAGACACCACAGCTGGTGACGAGGCAGCAGGGAGGAGGAGGGAGGTGGTTAGAATGTCAAAGTGCAGAGTTCAAAAGACAATATGCACGCAATGAACCTCCAGGGTCAGTCTTCTTTAATGTATTTAATGACGTGCTTAATAAGTTTATTCCCTTTCTTGCTGGGATGTAGATGAGAAAAATGATTCCACTCTCTTGTCTGTATGATAAATATCAAACTCCAACTGCTGGTTACATCAGCTTAGCATAAAACAGCTAGTCTTGCTCTGTCCAAATGTAACAAAATCTACCTACCAGTGAACCTAATGCTCACAAATATGTTTAATCTGTACAAAAAAGTGCAAAATCAATTCCTTTGTCAGAAAGAGGGAGAAACACAAACTGTAAGTTTACACCCCCTCACGATCACTTAGCTCTACTGATCAACTTTGGCTGGTCGTTCCAAAAACCAGGTTCAGCACCTGGTTGGCGGTGGTGCAATGGATAAGACACATGCCTTTGGTGCGAGAGACCCAGGTTCAATCCCCCACTGTGACCCATCCCTGAGCAAGACACTTAACCCCTACTTATTCCAGAGGCATGTGACCTCTGACATAGGTCATATATATATGGCATTTGTAAATTGCTTTGGATTAAAGTGTCACCTAAATGAAATGTACACTGTGGAATGAGCTACCTCTAATTGGCCCCGACCAATTAATGTTTTAAAACTCACTTGTAGTCCCTGGTTTTTAACCCAGCATGAGAGTTGTGTAGTCTTGTTGTTTTATGTTTATATGTGTTTTTTAGGTTTTATTTCTTGTCCAGCACTTTGTAAACCTTTGTTTTTTAAAATGTGCTGTATAAATAAAATGGATTGGATTGGATTGTAAGTGTGCCATTTTATTTCTTACTTATTACCTTCCTTAAGAATATGTTATTTTCAACTCAGCCTGTCATCTTTCTGCAGAATGTGTCTGATAATCCAAAATCCATGAGATTTGTTTAATAGGTAGGTGCCAAGCCAAGAGATTGAAGCACTTAATAGCTGACATGTCATGGTCCAGGATGACACGAGGGCCGCATTCACGGCACCACAGACTGCGCATGCATGTTAGGTGGTGCAGTCTATAGGCCGAGTGAGAGACCTTCTGAACAGTTAGGTAAGATCCAGATACATGTTTTCTGTTGTTAGATTTGATTGTCAGACTATATGGTATACTTTTGTGCACTTTTGTGCTAGCCGTCTTAGTTCCAATTACCTCTTAATACTAAAAAGCACACAATAATATTTTAGACAATAGTGTACTTTAAACTCTGACAACAGTTTGGGGAAGCTCAGCTTCAGTTTAAACATGAAGACGCCCTTGTGAACAAAGCGAGGTCCATGAAATGGCTTTCAGAGTTTGGTGTGGAAAAACACACAGCACAGAGCCCTGAGCTCAACCCCATCCAACACCTTTGGGATAAACTGGAACTCCGACTGTGAGCCAGGCCTCATCACCCAACTTCACTGGCTGACCTCACTAATGCTCTTATGGCTGAATGGGAGCTAACCCATGCAGCCAGGCTCCACAGCAAATTAATGACCATGGCTTTGCAATGGGATATTCAACGATCGAGTATGGGTGTAATTGTTCGGTTGTCCACATACATTTCTCCATGTAGTGGAGCTACGTCATATTTTGGTGCTTCGTGCTGCTCCTTTGACTTTTATCCACCACACATATCTTTGATTCACCTGATTCACACATTCACCCTTCTCATTCTTCTTCTTGATATCCCTGGTAACATCACATGTTGGAAAGAGGCGGCTTTCTGAGCAGTTGAGTATCAACTCATTCAGTCATTTTCACTGCACATAGTAATTCATCATTTTTATTTATTATTAATAACAGCTGTATATATACTGTTTAGTCCACACATCACACACATACATAACAGACTGCTGAAGTGTTTGTAAAGTGATAGAGAAATGATTAATGAGCCCAGAAAAACCTCTGTGTTCTTTCACAGATTTTTACATTTGTGTTCTTTCACTTAAACCCACTTCACTCTGCTTTCATTCTGCCTCTAATATGATAATTACATTTTCAGTTCAATGTCTGTCAACATCACTCAGGTTAATCACTGGTGCTTCCTGCCTTGGCACTGAGGAAATCTAAAGTGCCTTTTGGTGTCTCTCTCTCTCTCTCTCTCTTGACAGGTGGAGGAGATCCGGGGTTTTATTGAGTCTCTGGCAGAGAAAGTTGAGGAGGTGAAGAGGAAGCACAGCGCCATCCTCGCCTCACCTAACCCTGACGAGAGTAAGGCTGTTTGTCTTTTGTGTTCTTTTTTGATGCTCTCAGGGTGACAAGCTCAACACACCAGGACATTCACAACTCCAAGTGAGTCCAGGTTTGTACTGGTTTTATCTGATTGCCCAACCTGTTCTCAGTTTCAAGTCATCAGATATGGACACATGATCAAGACCCCTTGGCGTCAGTTTGTAATGCAGTGGGAAGCCCCATACCGGCATAGTTTAGTCTGTAACATCATTTATGAATGCGAAATGCAGGTGTAGGATGTAAATAGCGCTGCTTTTGACACCATTGATCACAACATCATGTTAGACAGACTGAGGCACTGGGTGGGGATCTCTGGTACTGCCCTAGAATGGTTTTCATCCTACCTGTCAAATAGGAAGTTTTGCGTGTGTGTAAACAACTATGTCTCCTCATTCTGTCCAGTTAAATATGGTGTGCCTCAGGGGTCGGTCTTAGGACCCATTTTGTTTTCCTTGTATCTGCTTCCCCTTGGACATATTATCCATAAACATGGCATTTCTTTTCATATTTATGCTGCCCGTCAGATCCACAGACCCTGGAATGCTGAGTTCACTTAACAACTGCCTTTGTGAAGTTAAAAAATGGATGTCAAATAATTTCCTCCAGCTGAACTCAGACAAAACAGAAATCCTGGTCATCGGGTCTCAGCAGATGGCAAATCAAATACTGCCATCTGCTGGTTCCCTAGTAAATCACATTAAGCCTGTGGCAAAGAACCTTGGTGTTTGGTTTGATAGTAATTTAAATTTCGAGCAGCACACCACAAAGCTTGTTCAATCATGTTTTTATCAACTTAGAAATATAGCAAAAATTCGATCTATGTTAACTTTTAAGGACACCGAGACCATTTTACACGCCTTCGTCTCATCACGCCTGGATTATTGCAACAGCCTTTTCACCTGTTTAACCTGTTTTAAAAATCTATTGATCAACTCCAGCTGCCAGGCTTTTAACCAGAACAAAGAAATATGACCACATTACTCCTATTTTAGCTTCATTACACTGGCTCCCAGTATGTTTTAGAATTGACTTTAAAATTCTATTGATCACTTTTAAAGCTCTTCATGGCCTCTCGCCTTGTTATATTTCTGACCTTTTATTCCCATACGCACCAGCACGTACCTTGAGATCCTCGGGCAGAGGTCTGTTGTCTGTTCCAGAGTCTCGACTGAAAACTAAAGGGGACAGAGCGTTTGCTGTCAGGGCCCCGAGGCTCTGGAACAGCCTGCCCGAGGAAATCAGGTCGGCTGAGTCAGTGAACTCTTTTAAGTCCCTTCTTAAAACATACTTTTATAGGAGAGCTTTTCCCGATCTTATTTGACTTTATTTTATCCCTTTTATTTTATTGTATTTTACTAATTTTATATTAATTTTTCATGCTCTTATCTTGTTTTTTTTGTATTATTCTTTACACTTGTTAAAGCACTTTGTAACTTGTTTTTGAAAAGTGCTCTACAAATAAGGATTATTATTATTATTATTATTATTAAATAACAGAAAAGTCAGAGTAAGGAGGTGGTTAGGGTGGATGGGTGGGCCAGAAACCGGACTTTAACCCAGGAAACCAGTGTCTTTTTCCCGTGTGAAACAAAAAGTAAACATTGATTGTTTTTAGTACTAATTAACATAGTTATTTTAACCCAAACCATGATGTTTCCTAAACCTAACCAAGTAGTTTTGGTGGCTAAACAAATTGTGACGTTTACCAACGTTAACCACCAGTTTTATTTTGAAAGCCTAACTATTTGTTATTGGTAACTTGACCGGACATTGCATATTGTTACTAACCTGACCGCTGAACCCTACACATAAAAAAAAAAGAGGTACCTAGAATATTAAAAAGGAGTCTTGATCAAGTGTCCATATGTGACGATTTGGGAGTGAGAATGTGATGGATTGCCCAGTTGCATTTGAATCCTTTGGTTAAGAAATACCATACAGGTGGGTGACATTAAAGGGGAAATCTGAATAAATCATTGCATTTCCACCACAGAAACATTCCCAGGGAATGAAGAGCCTTTTGAGGAACTCAGGCACTTCATTGCCCAGTGCGCCGCCCGGTAGGAAATCACATCCCTCCGCATCTTTGCATTAACTTAGTATGTAATCGCGCTGCCAACAGCGTTGGCTTTGCGTTGTGTGGGAAACCAGCATTAACCTACACTTGACTGGTACTGTTGGAGCAGGGTTAGCAGAGCTAAACATCCCTTCATTCACAAAATGAAAAGGTACTGGCAGGTATTGCACATATCAACTGCAACTGAAATCGTAAGGATTATGAGTTTACTGTTTTATTTGTTGCTTCTAATTAAGGTGTGTCATCATGAATTAATTTATTGATTCAACCAGAGGAGGTCACATTGTCCAGGCCAAGCCTAACCCTTTTGCACCCATGCTACTTAATGATAATATTAATGTTTAATACCGCAATGACTCAGTAAGGAGTCAGAGAAGCTCTTAATGGAAAGCAGAAAGAGAATAAAGCCAAATATCACTATTTTATATGCTGTCTATTGTACAAAGGCGCAGCAAAAATCCTGAAAAAATTGGCCGATTACACTGAACAAAGGACAAAAAAATTACTCCATTGCTTAAAGGAAATTGAGTAAATAAATAACAGTTTTTCAGAAACGCACAAAGCCGGCCTGTTGATGGAGACTGTGATAGATGCCGGAGAACCATGAAGATGTCCCTGTCCGCCAATCAGCTCCCTCTGTTCGTTTTTTCCCTCAGATCTCTTACACCCTTTTTTGTCCATTTCTCTCCACTTTTCTACTTCCTCTCCATTACTCTGTAGTCCTATCTTTACCTCTTCCCCTGCTGTTAACACCGTCTGCCATATTTCTTAGTTTCTCTCTCTTACTGTGACCTATTTCAACCACTCTCCTCTTTACTTTTGTTCCATGTGTGCTGGATACTACAATCCATCTTTCCTCCTCTTTCTTCTCCATTTACTCGCATCTTTGTTCTCTCACACCTCCTCCTCTCTCATTTGTCAGGGCATTGATCTTTATCTCTGCTCTCACAAGGGGGATGTTACTCACACTAGTAACACCCTCCAATCCCCTTTCCTCCCCCCTGATTCCCTACCGCCCACCTACCAGCAAAAGCATCGATCTGCTTGCAGCAGCAGGTGTCAGATGAGCCCTTTAACTAGCCGGGTCGTGCAGATGACACACAGCGGAGCAGCAACAAGGCAAGGTGCTGCATTTAAGATACAAATTCTTTCACAAGTCATCTCCTTTGTCACTGAAATCAATGCACAGTGTGGTTGTGTCTGCCTGATAAATGCACATCAGTCAGCAGCTGTTGTAAATGTCAGCATCATTCATTACACGAAGGTCAGATTGTTCTTCGCTGTCTGCCTGTTGCATTTTGGCCACTGATGGCGAATAAAATTACCTGAAAACCCTCTTTGAGGAAGCCCCTGAGCAGCATTTTATATTTTGTGTGTCCATGTGTGTCGGTGCAACTTTTTCTACTTTAAATCAAATTCATGTGCAACTAATTTGCACCAACTAACATTTTGTTTGGATACATATTGCTACCCAGATTACATTTTTATCATAAAGCAAGAAGTAAACGAGGACTAGAGTATACGGGAAAGTGGGCTTTCTAAATTGTCCAAATTTTGAAAAGCACCTGCAAAAGCACCATCTGCAAGAAGTTCATTATTAGTACAATGTTTTTCTTTACTTTCCTGACAATATCTGCTCCTGACAACTAATGGATAAGTAATGTCTTTAGGCAACTCAAATCACTCAAACACCACTTTGGTCCAGACTGAAATATCTCCACAACTATTGGATTGACTGCCAATAAATTTGGTAGAATCAATCAATCAGTCAATCAGTAAATCAACTAACCAATCAGTGTTTTGATTCAAGGTCCCCAGAGGATAAATCCTAATGTTTTTGATGATCTTGTGACTTATCTCCACTGTGAGATTGGCATGTGGTTTTGAGTGAAATTTATCCATTTCACCTCCTCCTGTTGCATTGATTGCTGTGAAATTTGGTACCCACATCCATGCCCTCCTCAGGATGACTTGTAATCACTTTGGTGAGTTTTTGTTTTGCATCATCACAAAATTACAATTTGTTGCATAGTATAGCAGGGTGGCGTTGTCTCAAATCAAACAGGACTGTTGTTCACTTACCGGAAATGACAGTAGCAACATGTGAGTTCTTCTTCTTCTTCTTCTTCTTCTTTAATGGTGAATTGTAACTGGGCGTGTCATACACATTTGACCATGATTGTCACCCACCAAAATATCTGCCGGCTTGTTTGCTCACTTGACTTTTAGAATCGCAACCACAGCAACTTCCTCGGCTGCCATTTTCACAAGTTTGAAAATAGGTTGTTGGTGGTCCCTTCCCTTCTGCTATGTAGCCAAGATGGTGACCATTTAGGGTGAGAAGTGTCCAGCATTCCACACTAAGCTTTTTGACCATTATGAATTTACCATCCGGGTACTCATAATGAACTGCATTTTGCTATACTTGTCAGTGTGAACTCAAACGTAGAGGAAGGGCGCAAACTGAGACACATTTCACAACATGCTAAACATTATATCTGCTAAACATCGCACATTCCATGTGTTATGCTTACCATGTTTACCATCTTCATTCCCATCAGGCTGATGGGAATGTCATTAGTTTTGCAGGTATTTATCAGTAGCTGTTGTGGTATATCAGTCTGAACCTAAGCAGTGGACCAACCAACTGACATTGCCATCCATAGTGCCATGCTGCTACCATGGCTAGAAATACCCAAGGTATACAAGTTAAGTGCAACTGGAGTGAAGTAGGGCTGACCCCGAATAGTCGAAGATTCAATGCTTTGAAGGACTAAAGCCAGATTCAACTGTCAATCTTACAGTCTAATCTTCGGCGTTATGAAATAGGATCATACCATTTTGGCTATATGGGTGTCAACGTCTGACTTTACATAGAACTATCAGTTTTTTCCCAATAAGT